TCCAACCTCTTTCTTTGCCGCACGGCGCAAAGTAATCCGTGTTACCGCGGTCTAACTCTATTCCACGGCGGTAGTCGACGCAAGAAGCCGGGCGCATTCAAACAATCTCGATTTACCGGAATCATTTCCTTTACAACGTCGCTGTTGTGCACACGCGTGAAAGAGGCAATTTTCGGCAAATCAATGGTTTTGATCGCTCAAGCGGCCCGTTCGAATTCTGCATTTCGGCGCTTGTTTGTATTCAAGCACAATTGTCAGAGGCAGATGTGCAAAATGTACATTGTCAGTTGGAAGACCAATCAAACGCAGACAAACGCAAACGGAAACATGAAAAGTTAACGATAAAAACATGCATGTACAAAGGATTTTATAATAAAAATTTAAACCAAGAGACTTTCGAGAATAATTCTACTCAAACATACTTGAACAACTGATTCAAATAATTTAAATGACAAATTAAATACTTAAATAATTATTGATACTATAAAAAAATATTTAAATGTTTTTATTTAATATTAAATGCAAAACTGCGCAAGATAGATGCACACAACGTGTTACAATAATAATAGGATAGAAGCAATACGAAATAAAACCTATGATGGAAACAGCTTCGAGAGTCGAATGTCGAGAACCTCCCCCAAAAAAAAAACCGATCGCGATACTCGCAGAATTCTTTGCAGAGACTTCAAAGTTTAAAGAGGAGGATTTACGATACCGATCATCCAAGCGTGTCTCGTGCATCCCGTAATCTGAAACCACTATGTTTGATAGAACTTCAATCGAGAAAACGCGCGCGTCGCGAGTTAGTATTTAGTTTCCAGGATCAGCATGTCCCCGTAACGAGAAAACTTCTAGAAATAGGGAATCCGGCATAAGCCTATGCAGGGTACGAAGATGAAACAAGCGCATCAAATCCGCCGATCGACTTCGAGAGCATGCCGATCACGAATGCGAATGGTAATAGGCAGAAACGGGCTTCGAGATCTATCTCCTCGAAGTGGAGTGTATGCTTGCACGTCAATTCTTTATATCGAGTAGCTTGGTAGCATCGAACATTGCATTTATACGACGCAAACGGTCGATAATGGAGCTGATAAGAATGGAATATGTTGTCGATTTGACAACAAAAATCACTCACTTGTACAAACATTATCCTTCGGCAATCGAAGATGTATTTTGCAATAAACTCTTTTTCCGCGTAGATTTTTTTAAATATATATCGAGCCATTGATTCAAAATAATAAAAAGTATTTACTTAAATCATGTCCTTTGACAATGGAAAGGTTGATAATATAAAGATCGCAATCTATCTCGCGAGAAAATAATTTTTGCGTGCAATTTAAAAAATTTAATTTATCCCGCTGTTAATCCTCCTTACTCGCGAAATGTAATTAGCGGAAAAATCTAAAACTATAAAAGTGTAATTTCTCAATATGTCGAGAGCATTCCGGGATTGTTACGCGAATGTAACAGCTTCAGTTCCTACAACATCTGAGTGTAACGGTCTCTCCTATAAGCATGTCCGCATTGTTGGATAAGTTCAATGATACCTGTTATCTACAACGACGCCATTGTGCATAAGCCGCGTTGAAACTAGAGTCCTGATTAAGTATTCTCCCTAACTGCCAGTTAACGATCGCGAGAACAGCGTCAGCGGAATAATTTTACGAGACAGTGTCGTGTTCAAGCATGTACCATGCACCGTTTCTCATGCTGGCATACACTATGTTATCTGCGGATGCCGTTCTCGCGAAATTCATTCTCGAAAACTGCAGCCGTCGAAGAATGAGATAAAAAAAAATAAAGCAAATATCGCTGACCGCAGAAAAGGTGTACGTCGATTGCGAGTTTCCGATGTAAAAACCAAAAATTGTTTCTGCCAAAATATAAATCGCGATACGTTGAAAGAAATCTCAATATCTATTTCAATAATTCAGCGAGACTCTTGCAAGGCGATCGATCGAATTGAGCAGCGACTTCAAGGGCGGACTTTCGTTTCTCAAAGGGCGACAATCGCGAAGGGAAGAAAGGGAAAGATGACGCACACGCAAAGAGAAAAGGAAAGGGTTGGCCGCGACCTGTCTAGATGGACAGGTTAAAGAGCGCCGGAGTGTGTGCGGTTCGCGAACCGGTTCGGATCGATGAGAGGTCCACAGGTGCCAGACCTAGTCTCATCCGCGCAAGCGCCCCTCCCCTCGCACCCCTTCGAACAGCCTTTTGTCCCTCCCTCCTCCGCACACAGCACTCCTGTCGTCCCCTCGAACTCTCCTCCGTCGAGATCCCCGTTGTTTTATCCTCCTCTTCCCTCCATCCAACGTTTCTCCAGATCTGTCCTCGACCGTGTCCCCCCTCCCTCCGTCCCCGAATGTCCACTTCGACGTGTACTGCGTGCATACCGACCGCATAACACGATGTAGGGCGATGCGTAACGCGAAACGTGCGAATTACACGTGTCTGGCCCCCCGATGAGCTGCACAGCGGTGCTAGCGAATTAGATCACGCAGGATTAGCAGAATCGCGAGGATTACAAATATGTACGCGAATTAAGCTTTCGGAAATTTTAATGCTTCGAAAACCCGACTGGAGGCCATAAATAGGACGGAAACGCCGACAAACTATCCCGACTATTTTAATCCCATCGCGTGCGCACAAAGAGAAAAATTTTCGAAAATATTTAAGCAATGCTTGTAAAGAATTGGGTTGAGCTTTTATCGGTTTAACGACATTCTTGCAAAACTCCGCTGCCCGGACTACTCGACCTACCGACTGCGATGGTCCGCGAATTTATTGTGTTATTTTAGTCGAGTCACGGAATTACATCGCTCCGCTGACAACAGTTCCACTGACGTTTCACCATCAAACTTTCATCGTGACGAAAAACATTTTCAAAATGAATCCGACCGAACATATTTGGCTAACGCGGCGTGCGCGCGCGCAATATATACATTCGATCATTCGTGCAAACAATTATCTGCACTCATGCGTGTTGCGAGCGTAACAGCTGCCAGTTGGACTGCAAACTCATCTGCAAATTCCGATACGAGACGAGGAGGAAAAAATTAAGGTCGATCGGTTTTGCGGCTGCCTGTGGCGTCGAAGCGGCGAATCCGCTCCTCTTCCAGTGGCAGCGAAACTTTTCCTCGCTGCAGTGACGCGTCCGTGCAAAGAAAATTGGCAAAAAGACGCGCGGCCACTTTATATCGAAGCATTAATAATGTAGCTTCGGCTCCTGGGAAATTAACTGAACAAAATGTTAATCATTCTTTTCATCTCTGTTTAATTCTCCCCAAGATACTTTTAATATTAATATACATGTTTCATAATGTTAATATCGAGAACGTTTATACTGATTTTATATTTGTTCCACTTAATCGAGTTCATACGCTTTCGATATTAATATTGAGAACATATTCAATTTGCAGATAGCTAGTGTTTGTTTACATAATACTGATATTTCCAAGCAGGAATTTTAACGCTAAAATCTCGTTTGCATGTATCGGATGTTATTCAAAGCTCTCTTTACAAGTTTCATAATCGTCTTTTTTTTTATTTATGTCATCGAAGCACGTCATTTCGTATACAACTCAATTTGGTATATTCGCGACGGTATTTCCATATGTCTCGCATGCATCGAATTCCGAAAGAGTATATTATCCCGCAGGACATAAAAACACCGGCAGAATTTACGAACCGTGTCAATATTAACATTCCCCGCGTGTCGCGCGCATTAAAAAGCCGATGAAGCTCCCGCTCTCAGCTCATTCTTATGAATTTCCAAAATGCGAACAAAATTTATGGGACGTGCGGTATTTTCATAACGCCATACGCGTTAATACCGCGAAAGTTCATCCTTACAAGCAACCGCTTTGATTGCGTGGGAAACACGTGAAGGAAAAAGCGCAATATCGCGCGCGAACCCGGCATTTAATTAAACTTTTTTTCAGAAACAGTAATTGCTGGGAGAACGTTAATTAATAGCGGTGATACAATCGGTGCCAGTATTATTTGTATTTATTTGTGGACTTTTATTTTTTTCCTTGTCTTTTTCGCGATGCTGTTTCCATTGCGAAAGCTCGTGAAAGTTTCAATGTACTATTCGCTGTCATAGATGCAACATGTTGCATGAAAGCATCGTAACGTGGGTCATTTTACATTCGGTGTTATAGCATTGCGTTAACATGACTCGCAAATGTAATTAAAATTGATGACACCTAACATTTATTCAATATTTATCATAACTGCGCGACAAGCAATGATAAAATATTTATTTTATGCGCACTTTAATGGGTCTGACATGCGTCGATTAATTAGATCCATTAAGATCGAAATCATATTAATTACTGTCGCATTTCGACGGCGATGAGGTATTGTTTCGAATTGTACGATTTAACGAGTTGCTGCGGTAAAATTAAATATGAGCGCGGCGTGCGATAAAATTTATAGTTGGCACAATTGTACTGCGTCACGTGGTGATCAATAATGAGCGTCAATTTGTAATGATAATAAAATCGATGGCGAACGATATTCTATCTCGTACGCGCCTATCGAGAAATCCGAGAACGAGCGGAGAAAATCCCACGTGAATTACTCGTAAAATTGACTGACAGAAGGAGGCTGATTCGAGCAGAAAACGCCGTAACACGAAAAATCACTCACCGCGCTTCGGAATCATTCTCCCGCGATAAGAGTAGTGTCGGACTCCTCTCTAACAGCGCCGCGTGGAAGAATTGGAGAAATTCCGAGAAAATTGGAGCTCAAGGAAAATTCTTGGTAACTTGAAATTAGACGAAGAGAAGCTTTCTACAATATTACTCTGCAACATTAGTCTGGTCGCATTCGCGCTTAACCGAAGGGATTCCCGAAAATATCTTGCAATAGTCAGACTTATCGGATGCAAAATTTATCGCGCGTCACAGAAAAAACATTTAATACAAATAGCGTTATTTTTATAATTAATTTTTCTATATAAAATAATAATAAATCATATTTTAATAATCTATCACAATCACTTCGTTCTGTACAAATAAAGAGAGTTTATTACTTTTATTATTTTAATTTTAATACTGCGCTGTAATACATTTTTTTATAATTTTATAATTTTTTTTAATTGCATGTTATTATAAAGCGCAATATCGCTTCGCCTTTTATTAGAAGCGTCATAGTTGAAACTCGACGCTCACAGCGTTTTTCCAATATGCCCTCTTAAACATCGACGCTCATATTAGAGAATATTGGCTTAATATTGTTGTCAGGCGCGCTGCTGACTGTAGAATATTCATAAAACAGGCACACGACGAAAATTAGCCGCGTTAAATGACCTGCCACTTGCGCTCGTGTGCGCAATCGATTTCGCCAGTGACTACACGTGTCGCAAATTAATAAACGAGTCTCAAGCTTCTTGAAAACCTTCGACATTAATATATCTTACTGATAAACTCTTCAAAAACTCAATCTAATATTCATTAAAATAAATTTCCACAAAATAAGTTTCCAGAGCACAGTTTCCAGATTAAATAACAAAATTGTTCAAGTTCGAAAGCTTTTCGAGATTTCAATTTGCACTTTAATTATCAACATGGCCAATGTTTAAAATAAAAAGCTTGCAAAAAATTCATTCGGTCTAAATCTTTCATGAGGGAACAGTCTGCAAGTTTGTTAAAGAAACTATCGTTAAAATTAAGGTCGGAACGCTCCGTGTATGAACGTCGGTCAACAAGAAAAAACGCGACGTTCAGGCCGCTATCGCGCGCTCCCCCTTTTTGCACGTCAGCGAAAAACTCGTCCGCGTCAGTAAATTAATTCTCTTTAGAAAATTGGATCAGGCTCGACCGAGCGTGGAGATTTTTCTCGAATTTACACGTCGCGCAGCGTTACATGTCCCAAAATGAACGAGACGTATTTTATTTGTTGTCTACAATGATCTCTTGCTCATACTATCCGCGCTAATTATCCGACAAGGATCCGCGAGATTAATGAAAAACCTCATTTTTAACGTACTTGATTTATCGAGGCAGTCGGGAAGATCAAGAATGTAGAAGCGATTAGTTTTAATCACTCAACCACCGGCATGTAGCTTTTTCTGTCTATCGAAAATTCGAACCGGTCGAAAATTATTAAAATTTATCTATACTTTGCACGCGATATAGATAAAAATTAGAGATTACGAGTTTAACTTCTATTACGTTACAATGTTTTTTTTCTGGACATTACGCCAGTTAAAAACCACACGGAAATTTTGCTTGCAAATTTTTCGCGCATGAGTAACGCATGTAAATTCACGCGTGACATATTTATCAGGCCATCAATCGCTTTCGCTTACGCCATTTTCAACTACCATTTTTTTTCATTTACAAAAAGTTTTTTTACTGCAAACAATGCGCATAAAACGTCCTACGATCAAGCCGTGAACAAAGAAACCCGACGACTATCGTCGCCGACGAACTCTCGTCGGCAGAAAAAAACGAAAAAAACGAGAATTTGCTCATAAATTTCTATGACGTCGCTGCCGACGCCGACGACTACGGCTTGTCGTTTCACGCTTTTACGAGCGACTGGAAGAGAAACTTTAAGGTTTACTGACGCGCAAAGGATCGTCCGAGACTAAGGTGACCGTATAGAGAATTTCTCTCGAGAATTATATGCTCGAAAAAATCAATTCATAATATGAAATAATAAAAAGTACCATTTTTATCAATCCGCATGATAATAATAAAGATAATAATTCAACGAAAGAATATTTGGCACACATCGTAATATAGAGAGAAAATGCCGAATGTGGCATGCATAATTTTAAAGCAAATATCTTATAAATATATTCCAATGTATCCAAATGTATTCCAAATACAAAATAAATGTTTCATAAATACATATATTCTGAATATTTCTCAAATATTTCATGTAATATTTGGCAAAATGTAAAAAATGGTATTTCAGATCTAATATTTCAGTATTTTTCCTCTTAAATTCGTCAATTAATTTAATTTGTTGTGCAGTAATCAACAATTTATATATTTTTTTTTAAAGATCACTCACCGAATATAGTGCCAATGCTGCCAGCTATCCCCTCGGAGATAGCACCGTTCGCCAACGCATCCAAACAGGCGCTAAGGGCGCACGCACACGCACTCGTACCTATAAGGTACTCCAGCACCATGTTCCATCCAATAATGAATGCTATTAATTCGCCTACTGTCACGTAACTGTACATATAAGCGCTGCCGGTCGTATGAGGCACTCGTACTCCAAATTCGGCGTAACACGCTCCTGTAAGCAAGTTAAAAAGAAAACAAATTAATGCGCATTGTCAGTCTCAACACGCGAATGTCAGGGGACAAAAAAGTTGCAACAGAAAAAATATAGAGAATCTCTCGGACAAAGGACAACGCTGACGTAATAGGAGACTGTATATACAGTTATATAATATTCTGAATTATAATAATAAATTAAAATAATATTTTAAATTCACAAATTACTAAAAGTAATTATTAAATATTTCCATATTATTTTGAAACTATCTGAAAAGTTCCACGAATTTCAATGAATAATTTATGTTTCAAATAAAAAATTTGCGATTAAGAAATATAAATTTAAAAAGTTAATGAATTATGGAAATTAGTTTTATGCTCATTTTAGCGTAATTTTCCAACTAAATCCGTTTCTCCTAAAAACTCGCTTAAGACGGATTACACGATGGAATGCATTTCTATGTTACCGCAATAGAGTATCAGTACTGTCAATCATTATGCTTCAGTAATCGACTGATTAAACGTCAGTTTAACCTTTCAGTGCGAATTACATCGCGGAATAGATCCGCTTGTACCTAATCTGTTCGCACACCTATAAATGCCGTAATATAATATAATCCGCTTATACATCTTTACAGAACCGCCAGATGAACGCTCGGTCTCTGCAGTTCTAATATTATTAGCGTATTGTTACGCGAAGCGAATTCTATCATCATTACCATTGTTCTATGATCCCCGATCTCTCACATCCCTGCGGACATCTGTTACCTTTGATGTCGATCACCTCCTTGCTTGCTATTACCTCTGCCATAGCCCGACGGCTTACACGAAGGCAAGGTTAGAGAATCTAGTCCCCATTGATCTCAAACTCGATACATCGCGTGTATTATCCGCAAAAACAGCCGCCGGGTCTAAGAAAAGAAAAATACGCGAACAAAAAGCCGACGGAGCTTTGCGAAGCTTTCGGCCTTGCTCTTTCGTGACTGTCGAACGCCAAGAAATGTATAAACTGTGTATTTCATATAAATATATCGAAAAATCTCTTCAAATGTCAACTGACTCAGCAGTCAAGCAAAAAATGTAATAATGAATAATAAAATAAATCAATAAAGGAAGAAAGGCAGGTATAAAATAATAATGATACAAAAACAGAGGATTTCGTGCCCAACGCTGGTTGTTAATTGCTTATATTACAATCTTCTTCTTATTAAATACATATGTTAACAATCTTCATACTGATTAACTTAATTAAACGTTTTGATCAATATTTGATTATCCTCAGTAATTAAAATTGTAGAATATAATTTCTATTTAAGGTCATGCTATAAAATATGAAAACAATCAAGTGAGCCAAACAATATAAAAATTATAAATTAAACAGAAAAGAATCGAGAAACATATCTTTGAGACTTTATCAAGACGTATAAAAATAATCACATTTTAGTGTAAATCAATCGTAAGAGATTGAGAATTGGTAACTCGCTCCCTTTCTTTAGAGAATCTTACTCCCATTATAACAATTCCTTTCCATATTTTTGTGCTCCCTTTCTCTCTTCCCCTCTTTTATTTCCCTTTCGCATTTCGGTTACAATAGTTCTCATCACAGTCATCCATTGTCGTTGGCATTGTTAACACGATTTACACTAAAATGTAATTTTTTTTTTAATTTTATAGGCACACAATCCTCTGCTTTTGTATTATTAATAAAATAAACGTTGTGGAATGAAGATGATTGAATTTTGCCGAGAAGAAGAGATTAAATAATTGGAATTGAAACTGGGATAGAAAGTTGGAATAATCCACTTTATTCATTTCTAATTAGCAGCTTTGAGATAAAGAATTTTTTTCGCAAAAAGATGCGAGTGCGACGCACTCAAAATCTAATGATACTGCTGATTCAGTAATTATTATGGGTCACCAATGATTACTATGTTATGTCCAACCAACGCGACATCACCTATTAACGTTGCAACGAATTAATTAAACAGCCCTGCGACATGCCATACCCTAGCTTTAATCCTGCTATTAATTCGCACGCAGCATCGGCCTCTGAATAACGGACTAATTAAAGCCTTGCCTGTTAGATCAATAATTACTATCGAGAGCACGGTCGCGATCGCGAGATAATAACCGGAGTGCGTGATCATTCTTTCCTATTTTTTTCAATTTAATGTATCAATGCGTTCTATATTCTATGTCTCATTATCTTGTCTGTATTCTAAAAGATCTAATGAAACTTTTTATCTTATCTTTTGCATTATATATCGAATCAATATTTTGCGCAACACTTCTTTAATTTATTTCGATGCAAACAAGCGCGTTTATTTTCTGGTTAAATGTTTGATGTGTCATTAGTACTACATTTAGCAGATAATTTCAGAATTTTAGTTTAAAATTATCTAAATAAATTGTCAAGAGTTTTAAGAGTCAATCTTGTTAAATTTTTTTAAACACGTGCACACACACGCTTGAATATTTTATATAAACGATTCAACTCTGCTGTTGACATCTGAAATTTAATTTATCAGTTGAACTATAAATCTGGTCCAGAAAGATTACCTTGCAGATTTAAAAGAAGTTCTACTTGGAATCGTTCTGATTGCACGCTGTCACTAAAGCAATTCGATGTAACGAATATCGTAAGAATAGCGTAAGATTGCATCGCAAACTTCCTAAGAAGATGCTCACACAAACTGCGACGGAATTGCAGGATCGACGACAAAGGGATTGACAACGAGCCATGAGCGAAACAAGCCTGATTGAAATACGTTTCGGTCTCCCGTCTCGCCTTTGAACACGATCTGTGGAATCTGTATTCGCAATTTTGCAAGGAATACTGGTTCGTAACACACACGTGCGCGCGCGCGAGACAGTTTCACGACGGCGTGTTTGGAGTCCCGTATCGCGCACGAATGAATCGTAAATTTCATTTGATGGGTATTTTCCACGTTCGCTTTGTTGCGCACCAACGATACATCGATATTCGAATGGCCGACAGGCCGTTATCGATACGATAGCGCGAGTCGGACGGTAAAATGGCGCAAGTGTACTTGTAACGGTAAACTAACGTAACCTGTGAAGTGCCTGTAACAGTAGCTGTTACAGCAAAGTAACGTAAGTACCTTTTAGTTAAGGTAAACTACTCGTAACACCGTTAACTCTGCAAAACGCGGTTTTAATCGTCTCGATAATATCTGATTTCCAAAACGGTTTTTAAATAGAAGTGAAGGAAAAAATTGATATTAAAATACCTTATTATTGAGGACAGTTCTTGTACTATTGACACAATTGTACCTTATTGAAATATTAATTCCGCGTCTAACGCTGCTGCCAATTAAGTCTAAATTATTTGACAAATAAGCCAATTTCATTTCTTTTTTAACGCTGTACCACTCAATTTGCATTATCTCAAATATTTCAGAGCTTGGAAAAATATTTGCTAGTTTGCAACCATGCTTTCATTGTTTGGAAAACTGTGCTATCGCAAAGCACTACGTTAAGCTTCCCTCGACATTGGATCGCAAAAAGTTAACACTATACTAAGCTACCGTAGTGTACTGTAGTCAAGTTAATCCTATTAATACAATTTTTATGCCAGAATAATGTTTAACTTTAAAGAGCTTCAAATTTTACGATACCATCGTTTCCCGTCTGAGAAAAATTCATAACACATTTTCTCTTATTCAGTTCAATCGAGCTCAGAATCTTTACTCGCAACAGTGCTTGCTCCAGTTTTACATTTGATAACATCGTGTATTTTAGAGATGTTTATGTAAAATTCTGCGGAATTATGTATTTGCGGTTTAAATTCGCTCGCGCGACATCATATAGGATCGAGAGATTTTATGCGCATGATATACGGTCGCGGAAGACGAATTTTCCGGATCATATATCCCGCCACCACAATCCATATTTTCGCAGAGAATGAAGTTCTTATCTCTGGTCGACTGCAGACTAGTTATTCCCTCAGGTCTTCCACACTCTACGCATAAGAGAGAGAGAGAGAGAAAGAGAACGAAAATGGTACTTGACTTATCGCGTTGTCCAAATCACAACTCTTGTCAAAGCTTCTCAACGGAAGGATGTCTTCCGTCAAAAACGTCGCCAACTGTTGTACGATAAGAATCGTGAGAAATGTTTTGCACATCTTACAGGAAATAACCGATTTTCTGGAAGAGCAACTCAACTCCACTCACACACCGTTTTTCAGCTTGCCCCTTCATTTCTCGATAAAAGATTGTGCTTAGCAATCGTTTTGAGAGGCGCTCATGTATTAAATTTTTTTTTTTTACATACATTTTATAGAATGTACATAAATTAGATTTCTCTTTTTCGAATGTTGAAAAGTTCGTGAAAATTTCAATCGTTGTACTACAATTTGCACGAGTGTGTTGAAAAAAATATTAGAGTTTTAAGAAAGCGCGAATAACTTTTATAATTAAAAGTATATTGATTTTTGAATAAATTCAGAATACAATTACAATTGCAAATTTACGCAGCTAAACATAGTGATGCATAAAGTGGCGTTTAACGCCAAACGACCGAGCTATCTATACTTTGAAAATCGATAAATTTGTGGTTATGCCCTTTTGATATTAAACGATTCAATTATAATTTAATAGAGAGCGGTTCCCGTTTCAAAGTTACATGAACAAGACGAAAATATAACATATAAACAGATTCGAGCGATTATATATATATATATATATATCAAATTAACAAATTACCTAATTTAAGTGTCAATGAATCATTTATGGACTTCAAACAAAACGAAATCCTAAGGCTATCGATTTATTTATTTCATTATCACATTTGCTCTTTACGGAAACTAGATCTCACAATTCGTGGCAAATGCATGAAAATGAATAATGTACGCCAAAAATAATTTTTTCAGCAACGCGATCTAAATTCGAAGCTCAAAGGGTTAATCATAGATTGTCTTATTAAATATTTACTTCACGACTGTCATACATCATCGTGCCGGTTTAGAGGTACTATCCGTTCCGTGTCCGTCTCGAAGCATTGACATGACACCCACACGATACCACAGTGGGCGCACACGTACCTGTCCATCGTTAAATTGATCACTCACGTAAAAATAGTCGGAAACCCTTTATCGCCGATGCATAAAGGCCACTTCCACCCTCTTTCTCCCGTTCTCTCTCTCT